TACATAGTTGATTTTTAGTCGATCGAATAGAAGTTAAATGAGAATGAATGGACTGATTTGTGCTTACAGAGCTATTTCTATACCATCTGTTTTACCAATCTTTCATGAACTTTGAACATAGTTTTTGCCTCTTGGACATGTACGCTCCTATGATAGGTTGTTATAGAATTCTTACCACAAGAATCTTGATAGGATTTATGCGATGATCCTATGAGGAAATCCTATGATTTCCTATAACAGGATTTCGTAGGAATTGATAGGATCTTACGTAGGGATCCTAATAAGTCTTATAGTCTGTAGAATCTCATAAGATCTTGTAAGATCCTACATAGGATTCAATGACCTGGGAGGTGCTGTAGACTTGGTTTAATTTATACACTTTCGTATTTGATACACTAAGGCGAATATTCCCTCTAGAGGTAAAAGTTTTTGTTTTCGTGTTTTCATTAGTGGATTGTATAGTTCAATATCCGGACTATCTTTCACGTGTAAAAGATTCTGTTTATCTCTTTTCGAACGATCGGAGAAGTAGGCCAAATGATTCAAAATGACTCGAACTTTTAAAAGTAAATTTTTCAACACTGAAAGAAAGTTTAGTTTGAAAGGCATTTTGGGAATAAACAGATATCGGTCCATTAAAGATGTGCAGAGCGCCTTACTCTACCCTTCAGAGTAGAGTAGGGCCAGGGCTTCGTCTAAAAAAGATATATCGTCGATACAACATTGAGGTCGGTCGCTAGCGACAGTTATTTTAAACTTTTTTTTATCGGATGCAAGACACCCATTTTTGGTGCAATTGGCAATCTTCCTTCAGCCTTTGTCGACGTTCTTCTAAAATTTAGAAGAGCGTTGACACAGGCTAGTAGAGTCGTCTAATCTACTGTGAATCCGTCCACCATAGTGTAATGATTTGCTCTACTCTGAGCGGCGAACAAAGGCTAATTCTCTTAATATTAAAATGGCAGAAGACTCATCTTAATTTACCAAAAAAGAGAGGAAGGGGAAGCTATCCTTACCAAAAATGATAGTTTTCTATTTCAACAGTACTTTTTCGATTGAGTAACAACAAACAACTAATGAAAAGAAAACAAAAATCTTAATTCCTTTGAATATAAATCATTACTCACATAATAGAACACATCAAACTCTAAAATGAGTAATTTGTTCGAGAAATGCATAAAACTGTGATCGTACATGTACATCGATAGTGATCAGCACATGATTTACCAGAATGATTGATTAAAAACAATAGTGTGTAGTATAGATAGATGTAAAGTGTATATATATCATGCGCCATGTAACAATCAAAAATAACTGAGAACGAGTGGCTGATTCGAGAAAGAAAGTGGTTCTAGATTCTGCTGAAGATAATAAGTCCATCGAGTTCCACTCGGCTGATTTGGTTGGTTATCGGTATAATGAATGTGTCTATTTAAGTCTACGAAATAGTGCCTTTGTTAAGAACAAATGAAAATTCTTCAAACGAATAGACGTCATGCTCTTTGTCAGTTTCGTTCGGCTTCAGTTTTCCACTCATCACATTTTTGATCCCCTGAGCCGCTTTGATGAGCAAATCTGGCTCAACTACGGGTATATTATGAGCTGGAAATATTATTTTCACTTTTGAACATAATTGGGCTAATTTTTCCAATGATTTCGCATATTCATGTAAATTTGTTTCTGGTCGATAAAGGAAAATTGGGCCCAAATAAAACGTATCACCAACAAACAATAGACCATTCTGTTCATCAAATAATGATATACAATCGGGTGTATGTCCTGGTGTTGTTAATATTTCTAATCGACGATTATTACCCATGTCTATTTTATCGCCATCTCGTAGATAATTCTTGATTTGAAATGGACGAATTCGGTAAGATTTTGGATCAAAGTCTGAAGGTAAATACTTTTTCCATATCATACCTAAAGAAGAAAATGAGTTAGCTAAACTTTCACAGTAAAAATACGACGACCTGTTTAATAGTAGATAATTGGCCGCATTTAGCTTACAATAGGATGATGATGATGTGTTGGAATCGAAAATGCGAACATCTCATTTACCTGGTTCCAACTCTGCTTGTGCATCAGTGTCGTTTCCTTGCATATTTGTTCGTGTAAAGTTTGTGTCAATTCCATAGATGTCTTCAAATTGCCAATTATCACCAATATGATCATGATGTGTGTGCGAGCTAATCACACTCAGAGGTAATTGAATATTGTCTTTTGCTGTTAGTTCATCAACTACTTGCTTAATATTTCCAATACCCATTCCCGTATCAAGCAGAAGATTCTTGTGTGAACCATAAATTAGGTAGGAAATAACTTCTTCCCAATGATACGGTTCATAAATAGCATATACTCCCGAATACACTTTATACACCTGAAACCATTGCTGTCGAACATGAATTTGTTCTAAAGAAGCATATTGTGGACGAGGAAGCTTTCGACACCATTCAGGCATTGAACCATCTGATAATGATGATAAGGAAGCCATAGATCTAGTGTCTGCAAGGAGCAAAACGGGGCTTTCGGTACCCTCCGAAAATGTTTGTCGAGATAAGTCCTCGAGAGCTTGGGTTGGCGTTATTCTTTACCAAACAATATAGCTAGCTTAACACAGCCGGAGTTTTAATTTTTCCTTTTACTGATTTTTGGTAACGTTTTGTTCTCAAAAACTCGAAAAATCTCTGTGGCTTTTTGCAGAAAACCCTATTTGCCTAAAGGCTAAATCGAAGATTGGGCTTTGTCAATCTTTCTAGCTTTGACTAGTCCCTATAAATAAATAAAAATTAAGCCTGAACGACGGACTGTAACGAAAAATTCTGGAAAGCGTCGGACATCGTCAGCGTAAAAATCTGTTTAGAAAATTGAGTGAAAGAAGACACTAGACGAATTTGCTCTTTTTTGTAAAAGTCTAATAACTTTTGACTAAAGCATCGTGATGAGCTTGCAAGCGTCCAGTTTTGAAGAGAAATCTTTGCGGAAGGCGCTGAGCTCATTCGATAAAATTTTTAAAAGCATTTCAACGGGAGAAGGCAATAAATGTTAAAATCGATTTTTTGAAAAACTTTCGATGTATGCAATTTTGATACAGATTCCGGAAGAAGACACGCTATCTGACCATGTGTTTATTGCAATTTCGATGTTTTAGAAAAAAAGCTGATCCTTCACGTCAAAAATCCACTTTTTTGTCTCGGGGGCCTTAATACAGGCCGGTCAGATGATCAGAAAATGGCCAAAGGACGGTCTCACTGCTCAAAAATTAGTCATTTAACTACCATTTAAATGGCCTTTAGGAGCCACCAAGCTCGCCGTTTTCTGCGTACTGGGCTATTATCTCAACTCAAAATCTCTACTGTATAGTAGAAGCGCAAAGATCTGTCAAAGCAACAATATGAAATCGTAACGAGTTAGACAAGACTCAAAAAATTCTGCTTACTTCGTCAATACCACTGAGTCACGCGCCTTCAAATATTTGTTAATTCGCCTCCTCGAACAGGGTTACTTGCGTAAAAGAACACAATGAATAAAGAAAACAAGTAGTAATCGGTTAATGTTCTCACAAACTATTGTAAGTAACTCTTTCAGCCTGTGCTGTTTGTGAGGCAATATTATTCTATTCTATTGATTCATAGATATTTCTCTCGAATAAAATATACATCTCGTCAAACTTAGCAGGAAACCTCCTGAGGCGCTAAAAATCTTTTTGAACGAGACTATTTTTAAAATGTAGGCCCTCATGAAGTATGAAGGACCCCAACTTGGTTTGGGCCCACCAGCCTTGTCGCTGAGATATCGACTTTTTACGCGAATTTTCCATATGGGACCTGTATTTCAAGCAAAATCGAAGTTTTGAATTTCATCTTGAAACTTATCACATATTGTAGCCCAGATCATTTGTAGTCCGATGGAAAAAGGCAGAGCTGAAAACCTCACGAAAAAGAATTTTTTCAAAACTTGCTTCATGTTTTACCATTGGTTCTCATATGGAAAAAGTTCTTTCACCGCAGCGGAAAGAGGTTTCCAGCTCGGCCTTTTTTCATCGGACTACAGATGGTCTGGGCTACAATATGTGATAAGCTTCAAGATGAAATTCAAAACTTCGATTTTGCTTGAAATACAGGTCCCATGTGGAAAATTCGCGTAAAAATTCGATATCTCAGCGACAAAGCTGGTTGGCCCAAACCAAGTTGGGGTCCTTCATACTTCATGAGGGCCTACATTTTAAAAGCAGTCTCATTCAAAAAGGTTTTTAGCACCCCAGGAAGTTCCATTATAAGTACAAAAAGTTTTCTTGAAATAAACTATGCCGTATCTAAAATAAAAGAATTCACCCCTGGTGGGGATCGAACCCACGAACTTCTGGTTAGAAGCCAGACGCGATAGTCCACTTCGCCACAGGGGCTGCACTTCTTAACAGTTTGGACTTAAAGTAACTTTGCAGCGAATAGTTCATATTTTTTAAAGATCTGCATCAGAACAGGAGAAATACGACAGATTACATAGTAGACCGATGCTTAACGACCATCTCAGATGTGGTGAGGGTGTTGGTGGATGTTGGCGTCTTTTACAAAAACCCGAAATTCTCTGCATCCTTAACGTATTATGGTGACGAAATAAGAGTTATGGTCGGTCAATTAAAGAATGTTTTAGAAAAACTTTATTGAACAACAGAAGTAATCTTTAGTTTTAAGAAAGGGTTTAATCATCAAGAAGTTCTTCGATAAAAATTATAAAGACGCCGATAATACGGACGCAGGAGTAGTTTACAGAATTAATTGACATATATGTTGAACATTCCGTCTTCTGAAGGCCATGAACTGATTTTTTCATGATTGTTTAGCTCTACAACAACAACTACAAGTACCTCAACCACGGCAATAGAAACCGCAACAATCAGTATAACGTAAAAATGAGATGGCATAATAATAAAGTTGGTTTTGCGTTGCAGAAAAGTGCTTTTTCGTATTCAGCACACCTGATAACCCCGATGATTTTCTATTTTTGGCGAGAAGTCCAAAAGTTTAGTAAAAATTTTCAAACTAAGATTTTTCTATGGATATATTTTTGAGCCATTTTGTTTCAAAATTTTTCCTAAGCTTTTAGAAGTACTCACCAAAAACAGAAAATAATCTGGGTTATCGAGTGTGCGGGCTACGAAAAAGTACTTTTCAGCAACTTAAAGCAACTTTGATTTTTTTTTGTTTCAGTGATATGTTTTTGATGTTAAATTTTCAAGGAACTTCACTATTTTTCTCTCTGCCTACGTTATAGCTCAGCAACATCGACTACTAGTACCAGAACGTAAGCAGTTCTCATGAAACAAATGATTATTTGTAAAACTCATTTTTTCAAAGATGTCTATATGTACTGCAAAAAATTTTAACGAGAGACATTCCTCTTTCAAAGTGCATTTGTTTGATTTTATGAATACAAAATGAAGCAATCGCAGAGCCGAGAGGTTGACAAATATCATGAATGTTCAAAATAAAAAAATTCATCATATAAAACCTAAAATAAATTTTAAGAACATTATTTTTTACAATCACTTTCTCGACGTTTTAGATCAACGTCGGCAAGTACAACTTCCATAAGCACATCGTAGATAAGTACGAGTATCACATCTACAGCGAGCACTACTTTTTCAATAAGTCACTCATGAAGGATATGCTGTTTGAATTTAGCTGAGCAGCTTTATTTAGTGGGAACAGATATTGCCTTTTTCCTGAACGCCTTTCAGATACACTTCACAACATCCACCTTGACGTGAGGCATTACAAGATTTCGTTTACCTAAGCAAGATTTTGAATTATCTTCTATCATTAAAAAACAAATGTATGTAATGTATGTGAAATTCCATCTTGTATGAAAAGATGTATCTCTTTTTTGATTTTCATACCGAGTTTAAAGATTTAAAAAGTAAAATTTTCCTATAATTCAGAGAAGAAAATATTATTTTGTATTATTTTTTTTTCTTAATAGTAAAATATGTACACTGTAAAAAAGAAACTGTTCAAATTTCGTTTTCACATCACTATATTTATTTTTATTTTTTAATTTACTGATGATAAATCGACTGATTGGTAACGTCTAATTTATTTGTTTTAAATAAATGAACAAGTGAAATTTGGGTGCTAATAAGCAAAATTTTATTTAATTGTGCTAGACAAAAAATTGATTATTATATTTACTATTGATTCACAAACAAGTGGAGTTCACAATACATACAGCTATGATAATCTTTCGTTCTAATAGCAAAAAATATCAGTTTAAATCGTTGTACTGATCTAAGACAAAACTCATAATCAAATGCTACACATTATTTATGAAGCTCAATATAATCTACATTCTAATTATTCAGTGAGTCAAAAAATCATTTGTAAATACAAAATTGAAAACTATTCTGTAATAGACATTCCAAAAAAGTGACAAAAAAACAAATCTTAAAGCAAGAAGTATTGTAATATAACTATCGTGATTAAAACTAATAAAAAACACTGGATTTTTTCTGATGAGACAGAATTAAGTTGTTTCTGTTGTGACTGTTTTTGTCACTTGCTTGGTCGCAGGTTCGACTACTGTCGTCACTTGATGCTCAGCAACAACTGGCTCCAAATCACCCACTATTTTTCCCGGTGTTGTAAAACTGCCCGTTGCTGTTTGACCGACAATTCGGTTATTATCACTACCAACCGGTGTCGTATCCGATATAACTGCAATTGGTTTAAACTCATCTACATTCTTCGATACATATTCAGGCACAGGAGCTGACTCTGTAACAACTGTAGTTTTCGTCGTGCCAGTTGGGACTTCTTCGACAGTCGATTTCGACGTCGTTTTTGTTGTTGTCATTGGTTTTTGTGTGATTATTGATGTCGCACCCAGTTCTGTTGGCTCGAGAATTTGTTCGCTTTGTTTGATCTCACGATATTGGGGTGGTTCTCCTTCGCGATTAATTTCAACGACTGTATCTCGCGAAATTGCTGTTGGAATTGTCTTTGCTAAAGGATTTGCAGCACTCGTAGCGTTTGTTGGTAGTATTACACGATGATGTTCCATTGTTTGTTTGCTCGTTGCGCGACTTTATTACACAGGATATGATGATGCATCGTAGTTTTTGGATTGATGGTATTAGTTATTGTCGTGAAAATGATCAAGTTCAAAGAGTATAAAGCGCACCGACATAACCGTTAATGTTACCATGGCTCCAGTGTTAAAATATTTACGACTGTTGTAAAACACTTTGTTATTTATATAGTTGAGTCGCACAAGCAGAATTCAGCAATAAATTATTTAGTATTCCATCGCAAAAGATTGTTTTGGCAATTGCATGCAATAAACGTTTTAGAGGCTCTTCGCAAAAAATTATTCAGTACTAATCTACTAGCTCCATCTTACCCACACATCCTAACCGGCACATACATTAGGAGGAGCTACTTAGAAAAATTTCTAGTTTATTTTAATAGAAATCAAATTATCCTTCTAGAATGTCGTTATGTTATGGAGAAGATAAAACTCAGGAAGTCTTTCATGTTTTTTCTTCTAGATCATACTTCTATCAATATTTATTTAAATGATATACTAAACATACTGAGCTTTGATCTATAGTGAGTATCAGAATTGTTCATCAACATTGACTTTGGGATTGGTTTCAACTGTAATAGATAAAAGAAAGTCACAAAGTGATCTGGGTAGTTTAAAGAGCTTCTGACAAAAAGGAATTTTATGAAACTTCATCATGTTCCTAATTAAGGCTTTGTCACAGGAATGTTTTGGTATTTTTCACGCCTTTTGTAGCCTTTCGTAAATCGGCTAAACTTGCGTGGAAAAGTCTTATAGACTGTCTGGAGATGTCTTATTTTCCTCAGAATTTTTTGCTCTATCAGGCTATATAGTTTGCAAAATTTATTGACCAAAACCAAGGACTTGGTTTTCTACGGGTCAGGATTTCCAGAAACCCTCTCATCAAGTTTTCTCATCTGATAGAAAAATCTTCGGGCTATCCAAAATAGTATTCAGATTGGTTTCAGCTTTTACCGAAAAATAAAAAACAGGAGTTCTTGTGATTATTACACACTGTACTGCATAGCATCCAAACGCTTCTCTTCGATATTGTTAATGACTGGTCTCAACTGTCTGGACATTCTGACCAGCTCACTTTGTAGAGACTTTAAAGAGCTATTCAATGCTTTTGAAAAATACACAATTTTTTATTACGGTAGAAAAATGACTAAAGGTGTGTTTAAAGCACATTGGATAGGTGAAAATTATGACATCGGCTAAGTATTCCGACCATTGACCCATGTCGGCATACTTTTGAAAGACTTATTTATAACTCATTTTAAAGCCCAAAAAGTTCTCTATCTTTCTATATATAAAGCATTCCGGTTCTGAGTAGATGCGTTGAAGAAGTATTACTTTAAAGTGTCAAGATAGATGAAAATGATGTTATCGGCCTAGTGTTTCGACAATTTTCCTGTATGGGCATATTTTTAAAAACCCTCGTTTATAGCTTGTTTTGAAGCCCAGAAAATCTCTATGTTAATATGTATGAGCTTTGCTCAAGGACTTTGAAATCGGACGAGAAATTTGCGGAAAAAGTTAAATGGCTTTAGTTGAACTGGTGGTGAAAAATGAAAAATAATTTTGTCTGAAAGACACGAGATGGAATTTTTGAAAGTGGAAAGTGTTGGGAAGTGAAAAGGGAAGCATTTCCGATCATTTTCACTCAAAATCATAGTGGGCCATTTTCTAGCAGAAACTGTGCCCGTCCTTTACTTGCATTGTGTCAGCCAACTACTTACATTTTACTTGGAAAAGTCCATAAGTACTGTCCTCATTACTTAATCCAAGTACATTCACTAGGGAATTCGCTCAAAAAGAGGAGGGGTTGGGATTTAAGAGGACAAAAAAGGAAAAGAGGAGTATTACGAACCCATATGTTGAGCTATTTTTCATAATGTACGGTTAATTTAGTATAAAACAGTTCTATTCTTACCCATACTTTGTGTATACTAATCTAACAATCAGTATGTGTTCAAGAAAATCATTATTCACATAAAATATCGTATAAAGTAATATTCTCATCAAACAATGGACATTGTTCAACTAATTTCACATATCGCTCTAAAAATACGTGCGCATCTTGTTCATGTTCCATTTCGTGAGCTAAACTAAAATCAAGTTGTTCGACACATGACACAAAAGCAATTGTTGACGTGTGATAAATTGAGCCATTATTCACCACATGAACACTACGAAGATGAAGTCTATCTTTGTACACACTGGTGTCAAAAGAATATTTTCCAACATTTGAAAAACTCATTTCTGCCATAATTCCATTTGGACAATGTTGTGTTGTTACTTTGGAAAATGTTTTTGTATCATCAATAATATTTTTCATTATATGCAAATTCAAGTAAACTTCATAATTTTCCAAAACTTTGGTAGTTATCGTCAAACATTGACGAGCGAATGACCAAAATGTTGTATGTAAAGGAACCTGGCCTATATGATTCGTTGCAACAGCTATAAAACAACCGACGGAGTGTTTAGTCAAAGGTGATTGCGGTACTCGTAAACGCATGTCATAATCTAACTCAATATCAAACTGTTCTAATGAGTCATTTATAGTTATTTGTTTCGTCCGTTTTTTTAATAGAAAACATTGATGAATAGTCAATAGGAGACATGCGTATAAGGGGCCATGTAATGTTAGTTGTCTTCTATGGCACACCTCTTTTAATTGTTCATAATGCTCGTTTGTACTAGAAGAAAACAAAAATTTTATCCTAATTGGTTGAAATAGTAGATAACGGTGATCTTTTTGTTGGGATAGAAATGTGCTTTTGATGGGAATTTTTGGCAAATGACTTTTAAATAGATAAGAATAAAACTTTTGAGCGAAGAAAGAAATCAAATTGAAGAAGATGCCAAAAGGTTTTGGAGTGAGATCAGTGATATGTGGCAGGATTATTTGATTGACTAATTCTTCGCGTTTTAATGTTGACGTTGTTAATGTTAGAAAATCGTTAAGAATACTGTATCCACTATGACCATCAGATATACAATGATTACTGAATAATATCATATGAAACTGTTCATGTTCGACCTTTCTCAGAACGAATAAGACGTGGAATAATGGAAAAATCATCGTCAATTCTTCATTATAAACATTTCTATTGCATTCATCTTCTGTAAATTGTTTCCATTCATTTACATCATCCGTATAAATAATTCGATAGAATAGCTTTAGTATTTCTGGATTAGAAAATAATTTATCATCATATTCAAGTGTTTCCAATAAAGGTATTTCATTGATTAAATTGGTGTGATCGCGTTGAATTTGTAGACGTGAACGGAGTCGATCATGACGCTTCAATAACTGACGTATAACATAATCAGTGTTTGATATTAAAATTGTTTGATCACCTGTTAAACATGCAACATGCGCTATTGTAAACCAATTTCCATGTAAACAAAGAAGTTTTTCAAGACCAGTTAATTCACGAGTTAATTGAACGCGGAACAAATCCATCTATCCCGATACAGATTCAGTTTGCGTATAACGTGGAAAAGTAAAAATGTTTGTAAAGACTCAGGTATAAAAAAAAACATACTCCACGTTCGAAGGTCATATAAAGCATAAAGGAAAGGTAAGAAAAGGGGAAAATGATGAAAAATAATTGGATAATTCTGTTCAGTACTTCCTTGACTTCTGTAGGATCATACTAACGAGTTATCCGTTTGTGCGCAACATATGAATTAATAGTGAATGGTGTTTCATGTACCTTCCAACCATAAGAAGACTATTTATCTCAAGAATAATATTGAAGCGGAGGAAAAGACTTAATTGGAGTTGATGTTACAGGCGACCGAGAAACATTGGTAGAGGCCTGAATGATGGTGAAAAGCAATAAATTTTCTTCAAGTTACGATAAATTTCAACCACAAAAGATTCTCACTCTACACAGTTTCGAATAATTTCAGTTTTTGAAAGATAATTACATATGCTCAGTTGAGTAACTTTAAAGTGACTTATGACACTTTCGGCAAACAGTTGACTGAACTGTCGGTGGAACTTTAATCATCCGTACATAAAACGATAACATCACGCCCAATGTTGTAGTTTTCTGTAAAGATAAACTTATTCTGTTCTGTTGAAGTTGATACGACACTATAAAGTGTCGTCGTGTATTAAATTGGTCATCGCCAAAAAATTGTTTCTACCAGTGTCTTCCCATGTCTTCAATGTTGTTTAAAAATCGGCGATTATCGCGCTTTTCTGAAAAGTCGCCGTTTAATCGCAATATGTCAGTGACTGTTTTATATATCGTGATTAAACGTTGATTATTTTGCAAGTCGCCATTTCTCAAAACATCGGTGACTAATCAAGATTATTTGCCAAGTTTTGGTTTTCTAGTATTCACCGTTTTACCTTGCAGGTGACCAACTGTATAATAAATATGAATTTCGACGGCAATTGTCTCGCTTTTTTTTCGGTTTAATCTTTTCTTTTAGATTAATGTTTTTGGGAAACGATGAAGACCTATGTTTCGGACGTTTCCTGAAGGCAGTTTCTTTCTGACTGATGACCTCACAAAAGCTGAATTACCATCAGCCTCAGAACTAGAAGCTACAGCTTCCAGAGAAGTCTCAATAACTTACAAACTGACATTGAACTGCCATTGAATGCTGTTTGTTTCCTGATAGATAAAGAGGAAAAATAAAAATAATTTCCACTACAATAATATCTTTCCAAAAAAAATCGTACATTTCATCTGGTACTCTAATCAACACTCCTTACTTCAGAAGACATGACTTGATTTTCGTTCACTGTATGTTCTTTTTACACTTTTAAAGCTATAATCGTTATAAATCTTCAATTTCCTATGCAGAGATCCCCAGCTTATGCATCACATTTACAACTTGTGCGAAGTACGACTGCATCATAACAGAGGCTCAACGCAATGATTTCATTGGTTTAAAACGAAAAACTAACCAACATTAAAGTTGTTTTGAGTGGTGTGGTAATAAGATATAATGTAAAATGATAATGCATAGCTATTATCAGGATTCCTTACAGGGAAGTTGGCGGCTCATTTTCATTATAGCTTAACTAAGCTGAATAATATACTTATATGTTATTTATTTTTAAATTAGTATAAGAAAACAAAAACTTAGTAAACACCAAAAAATGTCTTGGCTAAATTTTCAACAACAATTTTGCTAATGACATAATGCAATCAATCAATAATGAGATTTTATTTTTCAACAAAAGTGTACCTGCCTCCACAGTTTACCCCTACATTCTGACGTACTTTAAGATCTTTCTGTAGCGAAAATAGTATACATGTAGTAGCTTTTTACACACGAGCATTCCCTTTCATGCAGTAAACTTCTTTTTGTTTCATCGACATGAAGAAAGAGGAAAAGATCTCTCTCTTTTCGATATGGTAAGATGTAATCCGATAAATTAGTTTGCTCATGAGAGGGAAAAAGATCTTGTAATCAGTACCAAGTTTGTTTCAGATGCGATATTTTCCGAAATCTCAAAGTACATTGTCCGATTTCTTGTTATTACTATTTTAGATATGCGTAGCGTTTCTTATTTACAACGTTATGCTTTAATAGCTAAATCAAAGAATCTTTCTGTCTCTCTATCATCACATAAATATCCACCAATTGAATATCGTTGGTTTTACTCCCATTCTCAGCGTCTTTCTCATTCGATCAATACAATTTTAAATTCATTAACTTTGTCTTCACGCGATATTCGTTCATCACTCTATCATTTTCATTTAAAAACATCTATAAATTTATTCTCCCATCGTTCGCATGCTATCTCTTCGACTCGTCTATTTAAATATTTTCTCAAACAATGGCTCAATCATGTCCCATATCAATATATTTTTGGAACATGCGAATTTTATCGTCGATTATTTCAAGTGAATAGACATGTTCTTATCCCGAGACCAGATACAGAATGTTTAATTAACAGAGTACAAGAATTGTATCCAAAACATGAAGGTATTTAACCAATCTGGACAATAGCAGACGACCAAGTAAACATGTAAGCTGAAAGCCGCGTGAAGAGTTAGCCGTACAAATAGACTATAGTAAAAAGGACTCTTTAACTTGTTTGATTAATGAGCATAGACATCTGAACTGTGTATTTTATGTTTTACCGTCGATTATACATGATCCTTATTTCAATATCTAATTTTACATACTTTTTTTTGTGTATATAGATCGATCACTTCGTGTATTAGACATTGGCACGGGTAGTGGTTGTATACCAATCATTCTTCAATTATTTTATCCTCAATGGTCAATATCTGCCTGCGATATTAGCTCAAAGGCTATAAAAATAGCTCGACTTAATTCACGTTTAAATTGTACACCACGTCAAATTCAATTTCGTCAAGCAGATTTATTTCAAGATAATTTTTATCCATTGAAACAATTTGACCTTGTTGTATCGAATCCACCGTATATTACTCCATCAGAACTAAGTGTATGTGATAAATCATTACATTATGAACCTCGACAAGCTCTATTTGTTAAAGATAAACAAGATCCATTTGGATTTTATCGAGAAATAATGAATAAATGTTCAAATTATTTATTAAAACCAGATGGTTATTTAATTATGGAATGTTCACAATTTAATGTCAAAGGAATATACGAATTATTTAAATTGTTTCAGTTTAAAAATGTTCAAGTTGATTATGATTGGCAATATTTACCAAGAGTGATTTATGGACAAAAATGATATTAGGAGATGGATGCATTATTGCTTGCTTTGTAAGACTATTTTGATAAGAAAAAAAACATGTTTTGTTATTCTAATTGATATTTTTTTCTATACCGTTTGATTACCTTTTGATTGTAGGTTTTTTTTTGTTTATTAAAACATATGTGTAGCTCAAAGGAGAAAAACTACTTGAGTTAATCGTTTTGTTTATGAAACGGATAGACTTGGAAAAGTCACTGAAAATTTGAATACTTTGTTACTTCACAGGAGAGTTTTTTCTCATGACAGAGAACAGTTAGTCCTGAAAATGAGATAAATCTTATGTTGTCTATTTAATTTAGAAATTTTAGCTTTCATGAAATTCAGTCTAATAGAGAAAGACAACGAAGTTCAATGTAATCTGATAGTATTGGATTTCTTTTTGTTCTGAGTTCGTTCTTTACTTTTATTTTAGATCTCACATGGCATCCTCTGTTAACGCTTCTTCGGATTTGGGCGTTAGTGAACATCATGAACAAATTATTCGTCAATATATGCGTTTTTCACGTCAACAAAAATCGATTGGTCTACGATCGATTCGTGCTGCTGCTGAAGATGTTAAAACACAACGTTTACAAAATGAAGCGGCTCTAACAACATCTGAAGTAGATGATATTCTAAATGATCTCATTGAAGTATTAGCAGGTGAATTTGATCAAGAAATAACGCATCAATATCGAATTAATACGTTATTAATCAAACAACTATTTGAACAAAGTGAACAATGGTATTTAAAATTGAAACCAAATTTTGATCAATTAGAGAATCGACAATTGTTAGATAAAATAAAACAATATGAAGAACAAGTTGTTAAAGGAAATAAACAAAACAAAGGTTAGTAATATAAATAAAATATTTATTGTTTTCCAAGATCAATAGTTTGTGTTCAATAAAGGAGGGGACCCGGTTTTCTTTGATTTTGACCCACTTCTTTTTCGACTTAATTTTGATCAGATTTTGTAGAGAAAACGATTTTACACGTTTTGAAGTGCATATGTACCATTATAACCTTATGGAGACATTTTAAATTAACTTTTCTGAGGAGCTACATAAAGCATATTGATGCTTAACAAAAACGATTCTGTTCAAAATCTAATATGAAGTTACGATAAAGCTTGATATAGAAAAATAGCCAACGAAAAACTGAACGAAGTAGTACATGGACCATAGTCACATACTGTATACTTAAGGGAAATCGTTTATTTTCGAACATTCCCTCTCTAGTGATCATCCTACAACGATCATTTTTCCGCATTTTAACCCATAAATAAGAGAGGATGCAACTAGTCTTTAGTATAGCAAAATAGCTCTTGAAAAGCTCTACAATATTCTGCATAAACAAACTCTAATATTGGCTCAATCCTTTATAGGTCAAGTACGAGAAAAATCAAGGAAATGCAGTCATATTTTGCAGTTTTTATCATCAAATTTCAATTTTTTCTCAAAACCAACATCATATTTGAAATTACCGTTAAAAACTGCATGAAACTATGTTTGTTCCAGAATTTTTAGACTACTTTCATTTTTTTCGACCAAGATTTTTGCCGAGCTTTGCAAGGGCTGTTTTGCTATACTAAAGAATAGTTTTAGGTATCATTGGGCTCGTATTTGACCTATAAAGGATTGAGCCAATATTAGAGTTTGTTTATGCAGAATATTGTAGAGCTTTTCAAGAGCTATTTTGCTATACTAAAGACTAGTTGCATCCTCTCTTATTTATGGGTTAAAATGCGGAAAAATGATCGTTGTAGGATGATCACTAGAGAGGGAATGTTCGAAAATAAACGATTTCCCTTAAGTATACAGTATGTGACTATGGTCCATGTACTACTTCGTTCAGTTTTTCGTTGGCTATTTTTCTATATCAAGCTTTATCGTAACTTCATATTAGATTTTGAACAGAATCGTTTTTGTTAAGCATCAATATGCTTTATGTAGCTCCTCAGAAAAGTTAATTTAAAATGTCTCCATAAGGTTATAATGGTACATATGCACTTCAAAACGTGTAAAATCGTTTTCTCTACAAAATCTGATCAAAATTAAGTCGAAAAAGAAGTGGATCAAAATCAAGGGAAAACGGGCCCCCTCCTTTATATTTAAAAGTCACAATGTTCAATTTTAGCTATTAAACCACAGACGACTATAGTTTGTTTTTTCACATGAAAAACTTTATTTATTTATACATCTGCTAAAAATGCTTACGTAGTTTGTTTTTGATAGTAGTGGATGTATTGAGTACGTTGTTAGATAGTTTTGTTAGGACATAGTTGAACGCTGTCAGAGATACGAGGCTAGTGGACAAAATAAATTCGTTTATTCGGGGGATGATCTATGAGCTGGTGAGGTGCGGAAATATTTTTTTGACTGCAGACGTGACCACCACTCAACGACGATCTCATCTAAACCAAGAAACAGTAAACGATATTATCATTCTATAGAAAAATAAAGGTGAAGTTCTCGATTTACTTTTGTGTGTATTATTATAATTGTTTGGAATAAAACATGACATTTTATGAGAAGAACGGTGTAAGAGTATCGTCGTTGAAGGGAAAAAACAAAAAAACTGCTCCAAGAAGCGATTCTGAAAAGTGATAAAGTGAAAAAACTTTTTCAATGGGATATTGAGATCTCTTTCAAACGTTACTATGCTCTATGTTTAGATAGTGGTGATCGTTCTTACTCGGTTAAAATCGATCAGATTAACGATACTCAAACGACCATTTTACTTAAAACTGAAATACAAAAATTACAACAACTTAACGATCAAATGAAAAAAAAAATTCAACAATATGAAAAAGATCTCAACATTAAAGATAGCACGTATGAAATGTCTCTTAATGATCAACTTTTGGAAAAAGCCAATTTGAAATTGGAAAAAGAACAAGTATCAAAAGAAAAACAATCCTATGAAAAAGAAATGCAATCATCCCAAACTCGTCTAGTTGAATTACAAAAGCAGCTAGAAATGACCGAACATGAATTAGATAAAAAATTTAATCAAACAAATACGTATAAAAATATGAAATCAATGTTAGAATCAAAAAATGAGACTATTAAACAATTAAGAAGACAATTAGGTGAAGGAAACAGTGGCGATTATGGAAGCCAAGAAGAGGACGATTAAAAAACAAGTAAGATAAATTATTTTTTACTTTTTGTAAAGCCAGAGTATGGATATAATAATGGATATAAGATAGAATCAGATTATGCAAAGATTCATCGATACGATTATCGCAGTATATCCACATATTTTGAATCCAAGTTCCAATCACCAGTTGTTCTTCACTCTTTCTATTTTGACTCTGATAGTCAACAGTTTCTTTTTTACTACTGATCTGTTGTTATGTTTCTCGCGTGTTTCCAAAAAGATCGATAATGACCGTAGACTGTCAAGTCGATGGACTCTAAAAAAGTAGTCCAATCTATTTCACAATACAAAAACAACATGTTTTTTACTGATTTTTGTTTTACTGATTCTTCAGAACAGTTCACAGAACAAATGAACACACAGTTGTTCTCGAAAGCATGTTCTACTACACAATTCGTTTGATAGAAACACGCACAATTCAGCGAGATAGGGACGAATCTACCAAGATCTTGTTAGAACGTTTTTTTTGTTTTTAGAGTGTTGAGAAGTTATGCAATAAATCTGAAGATTTTTGTTTTTCTTCGTTATGATAGAGTGAAAAACAATGTAGTAAAGAAGAAAATTTGTATACAAAACACTTTATAGTTTTTTTCTAGCACCTTTACTAAAAAATATTTCTAAAAATAACTACAACAATTGTATATTACTGATTATAGTAGATGTATAAAGCACAAATCATTGTAGTGAATGAGATGTAAAAGTAGGCATTTAGTTGTAAATTGAATAGGTAGATACTGAGAAGTGTTGTCACAATCACTGAAAATGAGATTACAAATAGTCTTGTTATATTTGATGAATGTTTAATAACCACAGACATAAATAAACCGTTGAGCGTTTGTGTTAGAATAATTAACCATGTATATATAGAAAATCCTTTAAATGCTGATTCAATTGATAATATAGATGTAGGAGATTGAGAGTAGAATGCCGGTATAAAATTAAAAATTGTACCATATGTATATAAATAAATATTTTGCATATTTAACGATTCAAGATAGTATTTTTTTAATATCCATTCATTATACACGCCAGCTAGACCCGATAGAATACAATAGATGGTTATCATTGGTATACCTAATGGATGAATGTACATTTCACCAATAACTATTCCGGAAGATGAAACTGACAAAGAAGAAGGGGTTGTTGATGAGAGAAATTTTGAAGCTGAACTTCGTGATGCACCTAAAATAGAGAAAAATAAACAACGAACAATGATATGGTATATTTTTAGCAAGAAAAGTATTATTATTTTATTTCGAAACTGAAAAAATGAGATTTAGAATACTATTAAGTCCTCTAGGAGCAAAAATGGACGATAATATAATTTTTTAAATCGGTTTACTGGTACATGATGACGAATCTAATATCAATGATATTCCCGTATCCTCAATTGCATTTCACAATTGATGAGTGTAAAACTAGTTTTAAAAGTCAACTTTTTTACTTTTTACCTAGACTATAGCTAAGTCCTCCAGCAAACAGTAATACTAATGATAACCACTTAATTTTGTTTAGATATTGTTTCATAATTATTCTATATAGAATAGCTGTTGTTAAAATTTTAAAATTTGATAGAATTTGATATGATGTAGGATCCATTTGTAATTGCATATGAACAGCAAGATTATTGTTAATAAAATATAGTATAGCTGGTATACTGTAGGGTAATGAATGTCGTATCACCGTTCGTAATGTTAGTGCTGATGAATGAACAGATGTTGTTGTCGATGGACAGCATAAAAAAGCATTTAGTGAAAATAATAATTTTGTTAATTCTAAAATAAAATTCATTGTTGTTGAACTAAATTCTATTTTACCATTTTTTTCACATAAATGAACGAGAACACTGTATGAACCGTAAGCAAATATCTTAAAAAATATTGAACACAAAAAAATCGTTTTAAGATAGTCTCTAAAGTAATCAAATATTTACCTGAAATACGACCATTGCTTTGAATGTTACTGAAGAAACAAATTGTTGATTATTAATATCTGCTATTGTAGATCTTGTTTCATATTCTGTTCCTATTTTCGATTTTTCATTTGTTCGATGATTATCGGAAATTATTAATAATGTTGAATCTTTTTCATTTGTTTCACTGTTAGTCATTTTCCTAGATAAAAAATAGATATTGTTGGCGGTAATCTTTAAGCTATTACTTATAATTGTATTCGTCTGCTATTTTTTCTTTCCATGTGCTACATGAAAAAAGAAGAAGAAGAAGAACCTACGGTATATTTTTTTCTCTCATGATAGAACTATCGTCTGATTTTCCTTATAATTATTCTTTTTTCTATATTAGTAATACAACAAATAGACATAGAGATATATTTTTTTTCTCTTTCGAGTTTTAGTATAAATATTCTACTAGTGATGTAGCAGTTCATGTTAAGAAAAGAGAAAAAAATATATCGAACACGTTCAAAACTATGTTTGTTCGATGAATTACGTATGCATAAGTCTTTGTGCCAATAGCATTAGTAGGACAAGAAAAAAGGCATTCACAAAATATTCATATCCTAATTTTTAGGCAAAAAAATATTTTTTCTGACAAGAACATTACGTATTATAAAGCATAAATTCTTTTTTTGCTCAGAACCTACCGTCAAAACTATTTTTCATTTAAAAGATTGACTATTATATTCTTCTATAAAATATGCCGTGATTGTGTATTCTTGCTGTCAAAACTCAAATACTCCACTGAATCAAAATTAATCACGTAAGGCATGGAAAAAACAACGATTGCTGGATATTCACTATGCATATGCAAATTGTTTTAAGACAAAATATACTATCAAGAAAAAACTCTAAAAATCTTTTTTCTTTGTAAAAATACCGTCAATATTTTTTATCACAAAGCTCTAATGTATCTTTATCAGAAGTTATTTTTCTTAATTCCAAATAATTAACTCACGAAGGAACCTCTCCAGGTATCCAATTCCGTTTGAGCTCATATTTTGCTGATCGATAGGGTACATGAATGTAACAAAAAACTTAAAAGGATTTGGGCTGTTGCGGCTTCCTTCCCGAGTTACGATTGATTTAGTGAAATTCGAGTCTTTGATATTTTTACTGTAACGCACTATTCCAATGTGTTAAACAGCTGAAACTCACATCACTATTACTCCTAAACAAAGTCCATATGCTGCAAAAATTTCCGACCTTAGTTCTCTGTCCTTCGTGAGAAATTGAATTTTCTGTTTTTCATAGAGTTTATCCACACTGTCTTGTGATCTGCAGGTGAAGAAAAATCTAATCGTGTAATTCAATAGCGCAAACACTTAAAAGCGGTCCAATAGAGATGATACATGCTTTTATCAACTTATGAATGTCAAAGCACGCTTGATAACGAAAAAGAAAATTATTTCATCTGCAGTTCGCAACACAGCGTGGATACTCTATGAAAAACAGAAAATTCGATTTCTCACAAAAGACAGAGAACTAAGGTCGAAAATTTTTGCAGCATTTGGGCTTTGCTTAGGAGTAATATTGATGTAAATTTCAGTTGTTTAACACATTGGAATAGTGCGTTATAGTAAAAATACTAAAGGTTCGACTTTTATTAAATCAACCGTAACTCGGGAAGGAAGTCGCAACAGCTCAAATCATTTTAGGCTTTTTGTTATACTCATGTGTCCTATCGATTAGCAAAATATGAGCTCAAATGGAGTTGAACACCTGGAAAGAGTCACTCGTCAATTAATGACATTTCTATTTAACTAAACGCATTTTTTTAATATTGTGATATGATTGTAAAAATATTAGAATGAACGATTATTCAAAGATTAGACATAGTCAAGAATCAATGTTCAATGTAGAAAGAAAGTTTGCTTCACGAAAAAACTGACAGTAAAAAAAATTCATACGCACCATTCAAATGGTACTTAAGTTGTCTAAGAAAGGATAAAAGTGTACTACAATGGTAAAAATTGAAATATAAATTTTAGATCAATAATATGAATATTTAAAACTTTATCTGAACAAAGTGTATGGACTTTCTGATTAGCGAAAAAAGATCATCTATTTTTGATTCATATTCGCTAATTGAGTTAACATTGACGAGATAACATTCACATATCTATTCTCATTTGAAAATTGAAATAACAAACGTTATCATTAGTATTAATCTACTGCTCAAGATAGGTCAATGTTGTCTCGTTACTCACTATTATATTTTGAGTTAATATTGTACAGTTAACTCAAATTTTGAAACATTCAAATACAGGACTCAATCTTTTTATCGTTGAAACAAGAGCTATGTTTTTCCAAAGACTCTTTTTGACCAGTTTGAAATTATCCTACGATATAAATGTTCTATGTTCGATTAATATTAACTGAATTTAAAACATAGAGAACTTATCTTCCTTTAATTTATAATTTCTTTCCTTTTTTTCAATTTTTGCTCTCTCTCTCTCTTAAATATACGCATTGTTTGAAGAAGCGTTTACTTATTTTTCCAAAGAATGCCAGTGAAATGTGTCTTTTTATTTCAAGACAGCGATCTGTATCAGTTACACTATTTGAATTCTGACAGCAAGGATACAGAATCATGACAGATTTTGTAGAAGAATATAATAATCTATCTTTTAAATGAAGTAATATATATTTTATTTTTTTTTGGTTCTGAGTTGAGTTATGCACAAGATAAATCCTTTGAGTTGACAGAAAGATGATATGTTTTCAAAGTTAAGAGTAGTGGAAGTTTATCATTCAAAAATGTTAACGATACTAGAACGAAAATATTTGTGAAAACGTGTATACTCATATTAAACCTTGTCTATCAAATTAATTATTCCTATCGTATTATAAAGTTTTTTAGCATCTTAGAAAGTTTAAAAATTCACTATAGATATTAAATTATGCAAAATAGAACAGAATAAATCGAGAATTAATATTATTTCTATCAATTTTATTTATAAAAATAAAATAATCATTAAAGCTGTAGAACTTTTAAATTGTTTTTTTTTTTGTTTCTCTCCAAAAGAGATTATAGTAAAAAAAACAAAAATTTTCACTTACATTACTTTCCTTTGGCGAGAAGTTATGAGTCTAAAATTATTGTTGAAGTTAAATCTGCATGACTACTATTTTCATAAACATATCCAATTCGTACATGTCAACTTTGTAACAATATCCAAATAATGCAAAAGTAGAAAAAAACAACATATGCCGCCTTATCTATATAGGAGAAAAACATAACAATAAACAAATGTCATTGCAAAAAAAATAGTAGAGAATTATAAAAATCTTACATATTTTTGCACTATTCTAACAATATTTCATATGTTCAAAACATAAATATAAATATCATATTGAACGTTTTTTATCCTATAAAAAAACAATCGGATAAAAAATAATAGGAAATAAAAAATTTTTTTAATAAAAATCGATTCATATCCGACAATGTTATTATTCGTGTTTAATCATCAGATCGATTACAGAGTCATTGAGAATGTATAGTTTTTGTTTTCTCCATTTGATAGAAAAAAAAAACATATCAAAGTGAGGAAATATATTTCTTTATTATTTGTAGAAAAAAGCATTATATGCTTAGTTTCACTCACTCGGAAAATCGTTTTGAATAATATTAAAAATAATTGTTTTGTTCTGTTTTTTCTCATACTCTTTTTTTATTAGACGATATATGATCAGTATATATATATATATATATATACATTTTAACACATTACATTTACACACGTGTGATAAATGAAGAAAAGGAAAAGAAAGCTATCATCGATATCGAAATATTTGCTGTGAAAAAATCTTATATCATTTAAAACTACATAATTTACTCGTCATTTAGCAGTTATTTCAGTAACATTGATAAAATTGTTTTAAACAGCTGTCAATATAAAGATTTTTTTAAGAATCCTTAGAAAAGTATGGTCTTTTTTTGTTTTTTGTTAACATTAAAAATCTCTTATTTTCATCATTATATATTTTGTTTTTTTGTTTCTTTTTTTAAACTTTATTTTTTATTAAATATATTTAGTTGGATAATTAGATGACCCCTTTTATTCTATACATTTCAGTTATTATATTTTTTCAATCTGGTGCAACAAATTTTCTTTTGTTTTCGAATATCTATTTATTTTAAGAATAGATAATTGATTTTAGCTTTCTTTGCTAATATTATGACGATGATTTTTCATTCTATTTTATACAAGAAATTTAGCTATTCACTAGTAAATTTAGAAAAAGAGAGAGAAAAGAGAAATATATATTTAATACGTTGAATAGAAAAGTAAACAACATTCTAAAAAATGGTGAAATCAAGTTATCAATTTATAATAGTTATGGATTACTTTACAGGCATATATCCTGCATAAATTCTTCTCATAATAATAAAATCTGTCTTGTTTACTCCGAGTTAGATAACGGTTTTGAATTTTTTATTTATCAAAATGTTGCTCTAACTTTCTCCTATCTATGATATAAGTTTCGTTTTTTGACTCCTACTGATTACTAAAATACAGTGATTTTACGAAATGGGAGTCTCACTTTTGAGATAGGAGGTTCATTCAGAAAAAAATTCATAACTTAGCTTAGGAATATTTTTTTTATTCATGTTCGATGGCTAAAATGGGATGACGTTGACATCCTCTTGATAATGGTTTACCTAGGCGTTTTGTTACTATCCATTTTTTGAATTATATATTTTGAATTTTTTTCGAAATGAATCTCGTACCTTAAACGTGACTTTCGATCGTAAAACTACTGTATTTCAGTGACATTAGGAAATAGACTCCCTTTTCTATTGTTTTATGAATATTATCAATGAATACGATGATTTTCTCTCATTTTAGATTTGTATGTTAAATTCTTATTTCAACTTAACAATGATCGTATTTTACCTTACAAACTTTAACGTTCCGTCCAAGTTTTATGTGATTTTGTTAATATTTATATGTCACTAATCGTATTGATGATCTGAAGTGTTTAAAATTACCGTCCATAACCATTTTATTTTTGAGAATTTTATATTGTTGCTTTCATCGTAACTAATAGTGTGCACATAAATTTTTATTGTACTTTTTTCTTAACTTTTATGTACTGACAGTGTTTTGTGTTTTTATGAATTAACTTATCGTTTATAAAGCGATTCA